CCCTGAAAGCCTAAGGGCTCAGAAATGTTTGCTTAGGAAATCATTTCATGGCTCATTCCTATTGGCACCCTGGACTGCAGCAGAAAATGTCAAAGACTGTGAAGAGGAAGATAAAGTCAGTTGTGGTAGGAAGGCTTTTCCAGCCACTGGCCTACTTCCCCTTTCTCTGAGCACATCCAGAACCCCAGGCTTGGAAAGAACATCAGAGGTTGTCCAGCCCCTCCCCAGACTCCACCAAGATCTTGAGATACCCACACAATTCCTGCCAGCACATGGCCTGCCCTCTGCTTGGCTCTTCCCTTTATGGGAAACTCTTTCTTCTGAGGCAGCTCTGCCCACAGGGCATCATCCTTGGTAGCCCTGAGCCTACCTCCCAGAGGCAGGTTTTGGTGGTCCCAGCTCTGCCACTCACTGGCTGAGTGACCCTCGTCAGTTACTTTACCTCTCAAAGTCTCAGATCTCTTGTCTTGTAAAATGAGGAGGTTAATACTGACATCTCTCACATGAACTCCACATTTCAGGGAACCTCTGAGCAGCCCAGAAAATACAGACAGGTTCTCATATCCCACATTCAAGGTGGTGGTGGTTTAGCTGCTAAGTCGTGTCCCATACACTGTAGCCTGTCAGGCTCCTCTGTTCATGGGATTCTCCAGGCAAGAATACTGGAGTGGGTTGCCATTTCCTTCTCCAGGGGATCTTCCCAACCCAGGAATCGAACCCAGGTCTCCTGCATTGCTGGCAGATGATTTACCGACTGAGCTCTGAGGGAATGCCATCAGACCTTTATTATTTCTGTCTGTTGAGAGCTTGTTGGGGGTGCATCATACTATTGGCTTGTGATCAAATTGCATCAACCAGGACCAGGTGACATTAGTGGTAAAGAGCCTGCCTGCCAGCGCAGGAGACGGGTTCAGTCCCGGTCAGGAAGATCCCCTGGAGAAGAGCGTGGCTACCCCCTCCAGTATTCTTGTCTGGAGAATCCCATGGACAGAGGAGCCTGGCAGGCTACAGATCAAAGTGTTACAGAGTCGGACACTACTGAAGCAACTTAGCACATACACACAGGACCTCTTAGCCTGGTTAATTATGACTCATCTTCAGATCTCAACCAAGACATCGCCTCCTCTGAGAGACCTTCCATGATCTAATCTCATCCCCTGTCATATAATCTCAGAGCTCCCCAGACAGTTCTTCTCATGACACCCTTACATTTTGCCACTATTGTTTCTTCAGTGTGGTCTTCCTCACTGCCCCCGTGAGCATAGAATCCCTGGTCTTCCCCAGGGACTTGCCCAGAGCTGAATTTCTAAGAGGCCCTCAGTATAAACTCGTGAATGGAAGGAAGGAAGGTAGGGATGGAGAGGATGGGGGAGGGGTGAGAAAGAAAGAGAAAGGGAAAGAAGGAATCCTTCTTGCAAATGGGCTCAGGGGCCAAATTTTCCTTACTTCAAGGCATACTCTGACCCCAGACTTAGTAAAGTCATCAAATAAATCCAACATTTAGAAAAGGGTAGGGGGAGGTAGGAGTGAGAGATTCCACAGACACTTTCCTGAAATTCAGTGGTAATAAAGGAGAAAAATGGACTGGCTCCCTCCAGATAACCATCGCGAGAGAAGTGATTACGCAGCTCCTGTCCTGAGCGTGGATGCCGGTGGCACCTGCCCAGGTAATTCATCAGCCTCAGATTAACGGACCCCTCGAGAGCGTCTGCACATGTCTCCATCCAGGTTTCTCAGGACACCTTTATTTAGATTTCATCAGGAGTGTTTTTCTCTGTCATCCCTTAGTCAGGAGTGGGCTACCGTACTAGGTGGCACAATTGAATATTGATTTGTTGGCACTTACCCAGCAGAAAAACAGTCCATTCAAGTGAGCCAGTTGTTTCCACTTGCTTGAGATCTCCCCAGGGCCTTTGCAACTCACTGAGTTACTGGTATCACATCAGGTGAGCAGAGAATCTAGCTGTGTGTCCACTGAGACTAAGGTTTGGCCATCTAGAAAACTGTAAACCTTGGTTGTCTCATCTGTAAAGTGGGAATAAGTGGAGTAGGATGATGGAACTGTCACTTTCTGGCATTTGCATTTTTCTAGTACTTGAATTCTTTAGAACAAGCATATGTTTCCCTTTATGATGAGAAAATCAAATGCAATGGAATTATAAGTAAATAAAATTAAGAAATATGAATAATTAAAATTAGGCACTTCATTGGGTCGCAGTGAGGGTTAAAGGAGATGGTTCAATGCCCGCAGCTTAGGTTCAGGCATGTGCTGGGTGAGTAATGCCTTTAGCTGCCAGATTCCTCCAGATATTAGCCATTACGGCTGATGATAGCTGTGACCACTGGAAATCCAGGTTTTTGTCATGAGTATCAGCAAGTGTATCAACCTCTCTGGCCTTGGGGAATTCATCTCTAAAATTAGAATGTCAGACTACTTCCTAAATGAAAAGGCAACCCACTCCAGTATTCTTCCCTGGAGAATCCCATGACTGAGGAGCCTAGCATGGGGTCTCAAGAGTCAGACAGCTCAGCGACGAAACCACCACCTTCATGCAAGTGTGTCAGCCTCTCTGTCCTTGGTGAATCCATCTCCAAAATTAGAATGGAGGAAGCTTCCTAAGCCTAATAAAGGGAACAACAATGGGAATACCTACTAACATCCTAATTAATGATAAACATTGAATGCTTCTTTCCTTAATGTCAAGAATAAGATGAGGACGTCCACACTGACCACTTCCATTTAACATTGTCCTGGGGGTTTTAGCCAGGGCAGCTAAGCAAGAGAAAAAGAAAAAAGAATAAAGACGTCTATGTTGAAAATAAATTTTTTTTCCTTTCACAGATAACATGATCTTGAACACAGAAGATCCTAAAGAAGTCCCAGAAGAGACTATTAAAACTCACAGATGAATTCAGCAAGATTGCAGAATATGAATTAAATAAACAAAAATCAATTATATTTGGCTGGCAAAAAATTCATTCTACATTTTCCACAAGTAACTAAAGAAAAACCTAAACAAACTTTTTGGCCAACCCAATATTTCTATGCACTAGCAATGAACAATAAAATTAAGTAAACAGTTGAAAATAAAATTAAGTAAACAACTCCATTTATAACAACACCTAATACAATAAAATATCTAAAAACAGTAAGGTGTGTGTGGTCAATTGGCTTCAACAAGGGTGAAGGATGCCAAGAGAATTCAATGGAGAAAGAATAATCATTTCAACAAATGATACCAATACAACTGGATAAACACATGTATGAAGTTGGACATCACTTCATCATGCATCAAAATGAATCACTTCACAAAATTTATCTCAAAATGGACCTTAGACCAAATGTAAGAGTCAAAATTGTAAAACTGTGAGAAGAAAACATAGAGGTAAATCTCTGTGACCTTGGGCTAGTGAATTAGTTCTTAATTATGACACCAAAAGCACAAATCAGAATAGAAAAAAATAAATAAGTTGACTTGATCAAAATTTTAAAATTTTGTGCTTCAAAAGGCACCACCCAGAAAGTAGGAAGACAACCTACACAATGGGAGAAAATATCTGCACGTCATATACCCGATAAGAAACTGTCTTCAGAATATACAAGTAACACTTATGACTCAACAGTAAAAAGACAAACAAGCTGATTTTTTTAAAGGCAGAGGACTGAATAGACATTTCTCCAAAGATCTATAAATTGCTAATAATATGCTCAGCATCATCAATCATTTAAGAAATGAAAATCAAAGCTACAATGTCATACCTCTTCACAGCCAATAGGATGAATATAATAAAAAAGATGAATAATAATGAGTGTTGGCAAGGATGTAGATAAACTGGAATCTTCACACATTACTAGTGGGAATGTAAAAGGCTGCAGTTGTTTTGAAACATAGTTTGACAGTTCCTTGAAGAGTTAAACACAGAGTAACATATGACCCAGCAATTCTACTCCTCAGGGTATGCCCAAGAGAAATGGAAACATATGTCCACATAAAAATAAGTACACAAGTGTTCACAGAAGCATTATTTAAAATAGCAAAAGTCTGGAAACAACCTAAGTATCCATCAACTGATAAGTGGATAAACAAAATACCATGTGTGTGAACAATGGAATAGTATTCTACAGTAAAAAGAAATAAAGTACCCACACATGCTACAATATAAATTAACATTGAAAATTATGTAAAATGTCAGTCACAAAAGACCACATATTGTATAGTTCCTCCTCGAGACTGAATGTTTCCCCCCACAAATTCATATGTTCAAGCTTAATCCCTAATATGATTGTATTTGGAGGTGAAGAATCTGGGTGGTAGTTAGGTCATGAAGGTGGAGCCCCCATGAATGAGATTCGTGCCCTTATAAGAAGAGAAATGAAGGAAATGATTTTTATTTTCTCTCTGCTGTGTGAAAACAAAGCAAGAAGTTGACTGTCTGGAAAACCAGGACACAACCATATTAGCACTCTGATCATGGACTTCCCAGCCTCCAGGACTATGAGAAATAATTTTTATTGTTCAAGCCAATACTTGGATTATGGTATTTGTTATATCAGCCTGAGCTAAGACAGTTCCACTTACATAAAATGTGTAGAATAGGGAAGTCCAGAAATACATAAAGGAGATCAGTGGTTTCAGGGGATGAGGCAGGGTATGGGGAGTGACTGCTAAGGGGTACACAGTTGCTTTAGAGGTAATGGAAATACTCTAAAATTAAATAGTAATGGTGGTTGTACAGCTCGATGAATATACTAAAGCCCATTGATGTATATCCATCTGAAAAGTGAATTTTATGGTATGTAACTAACTTACACCTCAATAAAGCTATTTTGTAAAGGATCAGAATAACACTGCCTTTTTATCTAGATGCAGGAGACAGACTGCAGACATTTACATGACATTTCCAGTCCTCAAAATCCATGTCTGTGAGTCACAGCAGGATTTATGACCTTTGATGTAAACCCTTCAAGAGGACAGGGATAACTGCAGAGGTCCCTCCACCTCTCCGTGGCCTGATGTCTTCACTCACTCACTCACCTGCCCACTCATTCATTCATTCAGGCACCCAACAGCACTAAGCCTGGTTAGTGAGGAGCATCCAGGAACAGGTGAGTCTGGTGCAGTGGGTGGTGCTGGCTGCAGGGACATGTGGGAACTGGGGAGCTCCAGGCAGGACTTGTGTGAATCTGCCTGGGGAGATCAGGAAGGCATCACAAAACAGGCGACGCTGAAGGAGGAGGGGGAGTTTATCAGGTGGACATGGTGGAAGGGCATGTCAGGCAGGGGGAACAGCACCTGCAGAGGCTCAGAGACTTGGAAGAATTTGACCTGCTCAAGGAAGAGCACATGGTCTGGAACGGCTGGAGAATGGGGTGTGTGAGATGAGGGTGGAGAGGCTGGTTCCTGGGGTCCCTTCTCCCTGTTATCCCATCAGTATTGTCTATGTGACTTCTTTTCATGTGTGAATTACAATGTGGGCTTAAATAGCGTGCTTGCTTTTCCCTCTGCCAGGAGCCCAGTTCCCTGCTCCATGAGGGAAATTCTACTGATCTTCCAAGGCCCTGCCCTTACAAACCCCTGACCCCCTTCTCCTACCATCCACCAGGTAAGGTGAGCCTGCCCTCCTCAGGGTTCCCGTAACCCAGATACACATCTCTGATTCATTCCCCAAAGGAAAGCACTGTGTCTTATCCTTTTTTAAATTTATTTCCACAATCTACCACAGTGCTTAGCATATCAGTGACATTCATACATTTGTGTCTTTTTTTTCTTTTTCAAATTTTTCATTTCTACCTGAAACATGTGGAGCGATGGGCTGAATACAGCTCAAAGTCATGAGCACTGGTTAGGGAGTCAGACAGACCCGAAGTCAGTTCCAATCTCTGGCATAACCTCTCTGCACCCAAGTTTCTGTGTTAAAATGGGGATAACGACCTTGGAAGGAAAGTTATGACCAATCTAGACAGCATATTAAAAAACAGAGACATTACTGTGCCAACAAAAGTCTGTCTAGTCAAGGCTATGGTTTTTCCAGTAGTCATGTATGGGTGTGAGAGTTGGACTATAAGGAAAGCTGAGCACCGAAGAACTGATGCTTTGGAACTGTGGTGTTGGAGAAGACTCTTGAGAGTCCCTTGGACTGCAAGGAGATCCAACCAGTCCATCCTAAAGGAAATCAGACCTGAATATTCATTGGAAGGACTGATGTTGAAGCTGAAGCTCCAATACTTTGGCCACCTAATGAGAAGAGCTGACTCATTTGAAAAGACCCTGATGCTGGGAAAGATTGAAGGCGGGAGGAGAGGGGGACAACAGAGGATGAGATGGTTGGATGGTATCACTGTCTCAATGGACATGAGTTTGAGTAAACTCCAGGAGTTGGTGATTGACAGGGAGGCCTGGCATGTTGCAGTCCATGTGGTTGCAAAGAGTCAGACACGACTGAGTGACTGAACTGGACTGAACTGAACTGAACTGAGTGACCCATTTATTCATTCAGCAACTGTTTATTGAATAACTACTACACTCCAAGCTCTGTGCTAGACATGGGCCCCAGCAAAGAAGACATAGCCCCAGCCCTCTCCTCAGGTAACCAACAGTCCAGCTGCGTCATGACTCACAGATGTTAAAGAGCTTCTAATTAATATATGACTATGGGGTTTGATGAACTATGTAAAATAATTAATGATACAGTGATCAGTGGGAGTCAGGGACCTCATTCAGGACGGATGGCGGGGAGGCTGGTCTGAGGAAGTGGCAGGCTGCTGGGGCCAAGCCAGGCAGAGGGTCTGGGTGGGGGGAGGTGGGTGTTAAGCCGAGGGACGAGCACACTTTTGGGGGTTTGGGTGCTCATAAAGCAAGATGCACTCATGGACTAGCCAAGGCTTGCAGGGTCAGAGAAGGTCAGGGAGAGACAAGACAAGAAGTGAACTCAGGGAGGGAGCTGGGGGCAGGGGGTGTGGATAGAGCAGGGAGAGATGTGTCCTCAAGGTAAGGAGACCATCTGTGACCTGAGCCAGTCGCTGGTGCATTTACACTGAGCCTTCGATTATCCATGGCCGATGTGGCCTCGCTGTTGCAGCGTGGCTGCCGTGGTGACTGTAACGTGACCCCCTGGATGGCCGTGCTGGCCTGGCTGCAGGACAAGGAGACAGCTGCTCAGGAAGGTGCCCAGATGTCTGCTCTAGGAAGAAGCACACAACCCAGGCTCCACCCTGTCCTTCTCCCTTTCTGCCTCTTGGGGCCACTCTTACTCCCCATCACCAAGGAGGCACAGGATAGCAGTTCAGACTTTGAACTGTGGAGCCAAACATACCAGCGTTCAAATCCCAGCTCTCACTGCTATGTGCTGCTTGACTTCGGGCAAGTCACAGTTCACCTCTCTGAGTCTCATTTACCTTCTCTGCTAAATAAATATAATGATAGTTACCACTTCATGAGGTTAAATGGGATAAAATGGGTGAGTGCCCAGTACCATGCCAGGTATGCAGAAATCACTCAGTAGTTGTGCACTCATGCTGGTGACCAGGATTCAGTGCAGGCCCAGTCCCTGGAGCCTGGTGAGCGTTTGATGCATGGGGGTGGCTGCCGTCAGCTGAACCACACCTTCTCTCCTGCCAGCCAGCGCCAACTTGGGCCTCAGTTTCTGTCCTCTTCTGTGCTCATCCCTCCTGGCTGGGGCTCCCAGGGTCCTGATCATGGTTCCACCGCTGAGCTCCAGCCTCACGTTTGGGTACTGCTGGGTCCCATGAAGCTCCTTGTGAAAAGCAGATTCTTCATCGGCACACTCTCATCCCTCCTGAATCTCACCTCCCTGGAGCCTCCCAACTAACTACTGAGCTGCCATGGGCGGGTGCCTGGGCCTTGGCCCTGCCCTGAGCGTCTCCTCCTAGTCCATCCCCACCCTAGTCCATGCCCCTGCAGGTCTGAGTCCAGGCCTGCCCCCCGCCCACCCTCTGCTAGCAGAGAAGGGAGAATGACATGGAGAAGGGGACAGGTCCCCAGGGTAAGATGTGCCAGCCTCGGAGCCTTTCTGGTCCTTGTACTGATCCTCTGATGGCTCTGTACTATCTCAGAACAAAGAAGTTTCCAGGAAGAAAACACGGAAAAAAGTAAGTCGACAGGCCTCTGTGTTGGCTCCAGACTCCAGAAAGTTGGAATAAAACATCACCATATGGGTGTGCTTCACGCAGATGGCTGAATGAGAAGACAAGAGCCGATGGGAAAGTTCTGTACCACCCCCAGCTCTTGGCTCCCCCAGCTCACACAGAGCATCTTAAATGATAGCCCAAGACTTGGAGGATGAGAGGCAACTCCAACCCCATAAGGACCCTCCTCTCTCCAGCCTCAACTGCCTCACCATCCCTGCCTCCACATCTTCCCACCCCAGTCACACAGGCCTTCTTGGAAAACCTCAAATTGCCTGTGCTCCCTCCCACCTCAGGGCCTTTGCACATGCTGTTCCCGTCACCAGGAACACACTCCTCTTCCTGCCCACTTAAGATAATTAGGTAGGTTCCAAAGTAGGGGCTGATCCTGAGAGTGGGGTGAACTACAGGGTCCATGAGTGGTCAGTGGGGAACCAAGGCTCTCAAAGGGTGCAGGTAACTCCTGGTCAGACTTCCCTTGGTTTAACTAGGGATGTTTTCATAAGCTTCTGGAAATACTTATTTATCACGAGATGGTATTGTTAAAGTATAAACTAAAAGGTTTGTTCATAACATGTCCCTTTTTTGTAATATGCAACTTAGGGTGAAAGAGGCAAACTGTTCCTTCCCCTCCTCCCTCCAGCTCCCCCTCCAGCTGCTCGAACCCCGCTGGACACCCCTTGAATCTTTGAGACCCATCAGGCCTCTGCCATCATGTTCTGGGCGGACTTGGGAACAGGGAGCGGGATCTTGCAAAGTGCCCCCGGACTCAGCTTCTGAGAAGTTCTTCTTTCAAAGCCTCTTCTGTGGGAGCTTGGATGGTGCCAGTTTCCCTCGGAGCACAGACCTTCTCTCACTCAGGTGTGTCCCCCTCAGGGCCAAGCCCAAGGCCAGTGTTTAGTGGAAACTTAGAAAATCTCTGGTTCAATTGGACAGGACTTGAAACAGGAAGTGAACAAGCTTTCAAAAGGTGCCTCAGAGCATGGAAGGAAACTGTTAAGTCAAAATCCTTTCCTTGGTTCCTGGAGAACACAGAGCTTTCAAGGAGGCCTTTGACAAATCCTTGGGTAAAGTGCAGAATTTCTTTCAACTGTAAATAGTCCTGACTCAGGAAACTGTATCCCCCCAACACACACACACACACACACACACACACACACACACACACACCTCTCACAATATACATATATACAAACACACACTATATACACACACCTCTCACTATATACATATAATGATTGAATAAGTCAATCATTATTCATGGATTCCATATTTGAAATTTTGTGTGCTTGCTAAACTTTTTTGTGACCCTGAATCAGTACTTAAGGTACTTTTGCTGTCATTCATGGACACACACAAAGCAGGGAAAAATTGGAGTCACCCAGTGCCAGCTAAGTCAAACAAGGGGATGCTCTGTCATCTTATTTTAGCTCACATTCTGTAAACTAGTACCTTTTTCCCTATTTAGTGCCTTTTTTTTTTTTTTTGCATTTTTGTGCTTTTTGTCAGTGACTTTGCTATTTAAAATGGCCTCTAAGCCCAGTGCTGAAGTTCAAGAAGGCTGTGATGTGCCTTAGGGCAAAAATATGTGTGTTAGACGAGTTTCACTGAGACAGGGGTTATGGTGCTGCTGTCTGTGAAATCAATGTTAATGAACCAACTATGTATATTAAACAAGTTGTAATTAACAGAAACACCCATAAATCAAGGTTCTATATTGACCCATTTACTTTTTGTAGAAACAGCCATACTCTTTTCCAGAGAGGCTGTATCACTTTACATTTCCATCATCAATATGAGGTTATCAGTTTCTCTACATCCTCACAAGCATTTGCTGTTATGACTAACTTTCATTTTAGCCATTCTGATAGGCTTGTAGTGATAGTTCATTGTGGTTTTAATTCACATTTCCCTAATGGCTGACTATACAGAACATCTTTTCATGTGTTTATTTTCCATCTGCGTGTCCTCTTCAGTGAAATGTCTCTTCGCATTATGGAAATGAACAAAGATCAACCACATGATAAAAGCAAAGGTTATTTATTCTGAGCTCATCATAGCAAGAGAGTCAGGCCATCATCACTTGCATTTTGGCAGAGACTCAAAGGCAAGCAGAGGAATGGGGGAGATTTATACTGGAAAAAAGGGAAGACTTCAGATACCTGTTGGAGTCTGTGGGCCTAGGGAAGCTGCAGGCAGGCTGACTTGAAGCAGGGCATCTATGTGATTAAGTAGGGGGCATCTTTGTTTTTCTCTGGTTGGTCCTAAGTTGGAAGCAGAAATAAAAATTGAGGAAGCTGTCAGTTACTAATAAAGTCCTGGCCCTTTGGGGCCACATAGTACAGAAGCTATTGTTGAAGCTCCTGGAACATCACTAGAAATAGCAATCCGGCTTCCTGCAAGTCTGATGATAGCAGGCTGGCATCCTGGACTGTTTATTCTGGGTAAGAGATTGGCTTCCTGGGCAGTCTTGCTGCCAGCTGCGGTTCAGAGTTCTGTTTTTCTCTATGGCCAGCTCATAGTTCATTTGTATATTCAGTCTCTCTGTCTTTTATCCATTTTTAATTGGCTTAATTAACTGAGAGCTTTTTTTTAAAATCATGAATAGGAGTCATGTTTTATCAAATGCTATCTCTACTTCTACTGATATGATCTTGTGATTTTCCTTCTTTAGTCTGTTGATGTAATGGAATACATTAGTTGATTTTTGAGTGGTGAAATTTTGTAAGCCTGGAATAAATCCCACTTGGTTGTGATGTATAATTCTTTTAATATATTGTTGGATTCTATTTCCTTATATTTGGTTGAGGATTTTTGCATCTGTGCTCATGAGAGATATTAGTCCGTTGTTTTCTTATAATGACTTTGTCTACTGTGGATGTCAGGGTGTTCTGGCCTCATAGAATGAATTTGTAAGTGTTCCAATTGCTTCTATTTTTTTAATGAGATTGCAAAGAATTGGTATAATTTCTTCCTTAAATGTTTGTTATACTTCACAAGTGAAGCCATCTGGGCCTGGTGCTTTCTGTTATTAATTATTGATTTAATAGATATAGGCCTGTTCAGATCATCTGTTTCTTCTTGTGTGAGTCTTGTCAGATCGTGTGTTTCAAGGAACTGGTCCACTTCTTCTAGGTTATCAAATTGGTGAACACTAAGTTTTTCTTAGTGTTTCTTTATTATCTTTTTAAATTTCCACGGGATCTGTAATTATGACCCCTCTTTCATTTCCAGCATTAATAATTTGAATAATTTGTGTTTGCTTTCTTTTCTTTTTTTCTTTGTTAGTCTGGCTAGAGACTTATTAAATTTAGTGATCTTTTCAAAGAACCATCTTTTGGTTTTATTGATTTCCCTATTGATTTGTATTTTTAATTTCATTGATTTCTGTTCTAATTTAAATTATTTCTCTCTTCTGTCTCCTTTGAGTTAAATTCCCTCTTCTTTTTCTAGTTTCCTAAGGTGGAGACTTCAATGATTTAGTTTAGATCTGTCTTCCTTTCTAATATGTGCATTAATTGCTATAAATTTCTCTCTAAGCAGTACTTTCACTGTAGCCAACAAATTTTGATAAGCTCTATTTTCATTTTTGTTTAGTTCAAAATACCGTTTAATGCCTGGAGTTTTCTTCTTTGACTCGTGTGTTACTTAGAAGTGATTTCCTTAATCTTCAAGTATTTTGAGATTTTTCCAGATACCTTTCTGCTATTGGTTTCTAATCTAATTCTACTGTGGTCTGAGAGCAGACATTTATGGTTTCTCTTCTTTTAAATTCATTAAGGTATGTTTTATGGCCCAGAATATTGTCTATTTTGGTTTCACGTGAGTTTGAGAAAAATGTGTGTTCTGCGTTGCTGGATGAAGTAGTCTATATATGCATTATATCCAGCTCATTGATGGTGAATTAAATTATGTTCTTACTGATTTTATGCCTGTTGCACATGTCCATTTTGATAGGGAGTGGTGAACTTTCCAACTATCACAGTGGATTCATCTACTTCTTGCAGTTCTATCATTTTTTGCTTCACATAATTTGGTCCTTTGTTGTAAGTGCATATCCATTAAAGACTATTATGTATTCTTGGAGAACTGGACCCTTTCTATTATGCAATGTCTCCCTTTATCCTTGATACCTCTCCTTGAACTGAAGTCTGGTCTACCTAAAACTAACACAGCTACCCCTGCTTTCTTTTGATTAATGCCAGCAAAGTATATCCTTCTTCATCCTTTTAATCTATTTCCTTATATTTAAAATGAATTTCTTGTAGATAATAGGCATCAATTAATTTTAAAATTGGGTGAGAACACAGGAAGCCAATGAAATAAAAAGCTGGTACCTTGAAAAAAATTAACCAAATTGATAGACATCTAGAAAAACTGACAAACATAAGCAGAAAGAGGATACAAATAATCAACCTCAGGAATGAAATGGAGGATGTTATTATGTATCTGACTGCCACTAAAATCATAGTAAGTTAATAATGTGAACAACTTAATGCACATAAATTTGCAATTAGAAGAAATTAACCAATTTTGTGAAACACACAAACCATCAAAACTCAATCAAGATGAAATAGACAATCTGAATAGTCTTATAGCAATTAAAGAAATTGAATTCATAATTTAAAAGCTCCCCCAAGGCATAATCCCCACGGGTAGATAGTTTCACTTAGAATTCTATCAAATATTAAAAGAATTAACACCAATTTTGCACAAATATTTTGAGAAAATATAATAGGATAGGGCGCTTCCTTATTTATTTTTATGAGGCCAGTGTTACCCTGATACCAAAACCACATAAGGCAGTACAAAAAATGAAAATTATAGACCAATTTCATTCATGAGCTTAGATACAAAACCTCTCAACAAAATGTCAGTGTTGAATAAAGTAATTTATGAAAACAATTATAAACTTTTACTATGTAAGATACATCTTAAGTGTGAAAGTCTAGTTCAATATTCAAAAATGTAATCCACTGTATCATCAAGCTAAAGAAAAACTATACGATTGTATAAATTGATGGAGTAAAGATTTGAAAAATTTGAATGAGTATTTATGTTGGAAACACTCAGCACACAAAGAATATGGGGAAATTTCTTTAATGTAATAAAAGCATCCACCAAATACAACAAAAATGACAAGCCCTATAGCTAATGTTGTATCTGATGATGAATGACTACTTTCACCTTAAGACTGGAAACAGGTAAGGATATGTATTCTCAGCTTATTCAATATAGTATTGAAAGTTCTAGCCAGTGCAATAAGGCAAGAAAAATAAATAAAGGCATCTAAATAGGTAAGGAAGGAATAAGACCATCTCTACTTGTGAATGACACGTTGGTCTACATGGAAAATCCCAGGAAATCTAAATCAATCAAGACAAAGCAAAACAGTAACAAAAACTTGTAGAGAATTTCAATTTTCAATTCAACATGTAAAAAGCTGGAATTCACCACTCTGTCCTCATGGACACAGGGCAAGGAGAGTGGAGTGGCCAATAGCCCTGCCTCACAGCACCATTACCTCATTCTGCCAGTTGAGATCGGAAGCGCTTCACTGAGCCCCATGAAAACCAGGATGGTTAGGGGTGTCCAGGGAACTGACTAACCCTGCCTCACACTCCTTCATTTAACCTTGTTGATGCCCAATATGGGTTCAACTCTCCACTGCTCCTTGCTGAGGCAGAGAGAGGTGGCTGGTGAGTGGAGCGCTGTCTAGCCCTACTTCACATTACTTCATTCAGTAATATTAATGCAGGACAGAGTGAAAGTTCTGCTCACCACTGGACCCCGCAGACACCACCAGAGGGGGAATCAGAGCACTGCCACCTTCTTTTCAGTTGTGTGGGGAAAATGGAAGATCATCTCCATGTTTGCCCTGTTAATATCATAAGAATGTGGGTGGTTTTCCCACTGATGTTTGGCTAGGTCAGGTGGTATGACCCAAAAACTTTCTTGCATGCTAGACAACCCTTATCCCTGTTATCTGACTAGGGAAAAATAAGATTTTCTTGTAATTTATTTTTTGTCTGTGCCTTTTGGTTGTTCCAGTGGAGACCTCTATAAAACTCTGGGTAGAGTGTATGCAACACAATAAGAGAACTCAAATAACTCACTATCATGTTATTCCTAGATTCCTGAGGTCCTAAGCTTGCCTTCATCTTTACACCTTCTAGAGTGTTCCTTTGATTTTCTGTTGTGTTATGTCCAGAGATTTGAGTTATCAGAGGGAGGACCTGGGTGAAATGAGGCTATTCCAACTTGACCAGAACCAAAAGTCTTGACATAATCTTTAAACGGAGTGAATTTTAGATAGGCATTTGTGATCGTTTCATGTCCTCGTCTCTCTATGCTGACATGTACTCTTTTTACCAGAAGCCCACTCAGAATCTTGCAAAACTTTCTTTAAGAACGTTATACATTATCTGTGTCAGTTTCAAAACCTGTCTGCAAATTCTTTAATACTCCTCCAACAGAAGAATAAGGTCTATGCCACTTCATCTCAAACTTGGAATAAGTTTAGTGTCTGGTCAATCAATAGAATACAAAAGTGGCACGATGTGACTTCCAGACAAAGACAGAAGAAAATAAAGCTTCCTCCTGGTTATTAGGAACACTCATGCTAGAGCCTTAAGCTGCCGTGTAAATACTCTGACTGCCTTGAAGCCTTTGTCATGAAGAAATTCAAGTCCATTCACCCACAGAGACCACATGAAGAAGTTTTGAGACAAGAGAGGAAGAAAAAAGATGCCTGGCTAGTCTCCAGATGTTACCAGTCCAGCTCTACCCACAATCTAATTGCATCTGCATGAATAAGGAGCAGGGAGACAGTAGGTAAGAAAAAGGTTAGCAAGGTGGGTGGGGTGGGGCTCAGTTCATGTAGGGCTGGGTGAACCATTGCAAGGACCCTGGCTTCTTCCCTGACGGAGATGGGGTCACTGAAATGTTTTGAGTAGATGATGGGCATTATATGGCAAGTTAACTAGGATCATACAAAGTCTTTATAAAGAGCTGACTCTTAGGAGAAAAAGGAAGCAGGGAGAGCGGTTAGGAAGCGATTGCAATAATTCAAGACAGAGATGATGTGACTGGGATGGGGGACCAGGAAAGTAGCTGCGGAGATGAGACGTGGTCAAGTTCTGCAAATGTTTGGAAAAGGAGCAAGCAGGTTTGCTGATGGATATGGCATGCGATGTGAGAGGTCAAGGTTGACTCCAGGTTTATGGTCTGAGCAACTGGGAGGATGGAGCTGCTTTAACTAAGATGAGGGAGATAACGAGAGCAGCACATTGAGAAGTAAGGCAAGTGGAGAACAAGACTTCAGCTGGGATGTGGGAAGGACACTGGATATCTGTTGGACTCCCAAGTGGAGGTGTTGAGTAGGCAGTTGGATATATAAGCCTGGTGCACAGGAAAGGGTCTATCTAGGCTAAGATGTAAATTTGGGATCCGTTAGCATATGAGCAGCTTGTAGTGCATATGAGTCTGGTGAGGTCCTAAAGAGTGTGAGAGAGGATAAGGATGAAGCCCAGAGACAGCACAAGTTTACAGGTCAAAGAGCCAAGAAGAAACCAGCAAAGGAGATGGAGAAGGGCAGCCAGGGAGATAGAAGGAAAACCAGGAGAGGGTGAGAGCAAGGGGAGGGAAGGTTTCAAGGAGGAGGAAGACAGTGAACGGTGTCGGACTCGTGATCTCTGAAGAAGAAGATTTAGCCTCGGGACCAGGGACCAGTCTTGACCACTCAAGAGCTTTTGTGTAGCAGAGTTTTATTAAAGTAAGAAAAGGGACAAAGAAAGCTTCTGACATAGACATCAGAATGAGGATGGAGAATGCCCCCCTTGCTAGTGTTTAGCAAGGGAGTTATACACGTTTTTAATTAGTTATTACAATAAATCGAAAGAACGTCTCAAGTTTGTAAATATCTTACTAGACCCACTCCCATAATTTACATTTTAATACAACAGGATTAGCCCCAAGGTTTTTAGGAAGGAGAAACTGTCCCCAAGCAGGATACATTGTTGTTATATAATCTTACTAGAAAGTTTAAACTGAGTTGTTTGTTGTGTAATCATCAGTTTCTGGTTTAAAGAAAGAAACCTTTTATGTGACTAAGACTAAGGAATGTAGAGAAAAAAATAGATGTTTGTCCTTTCCTCCTCCCTGAGAATTCCAGACCCCCTATCTCTGCTTCTAGAGCCCCAGACCCCTTTCTTCTCCTCCTCCTCCTTCTCTTCCTCCTCCTCCCCCTCCCTTCCTCCTCCTCCTCGTCCTCCTCCTCAACTCCAGACTTATCAACCTGCCTAGGAATTGACTAAAAGCAGAGACATTACTTTGCCAACAAAGGTCCGTCTGGTCAAGGCTATGGTTTTTCCCGTGGTCGTGTATGGATGTGAGAGTTGGACTGTGAAGAAAGCTGAGTGCCAAAAAAATTGATGCTTTTGAACTGTGGAGTTGGAGAAGACTCTTGAGAGTCCCTTGGACTGCAAGGAGATCCAACCAGTCCATCCTAAAGGAGATCAGTCCCGGGTGTTCATGGAAGGATTGATGCTGAAGATGAAACTCCAGTACTTTGGCCACCTCATGCGAAGAGTTGACTCATTGGAAAAGACCCTGATGCTGGAGGGATTGGGGGCAGGAGGAGAAGGGGACAATAGAGGATGAGATGGCTGGATGGCATCACCGACTCGATGGACATGAGTTTGAGTAAACTCCGGGAGTTGGTGATGGACAGGGAGGCCTGGCGTGCTGCGATTCATGGGGTAGCAAAGAGTTGGACACGACTGAGCAGCTGAACTAACTGAGGAATTGACTCTCTCAGAGTGATGGACTGAGTAAGATGACAAACGAAAATTGACCATTGGATGTGACAGCATAGAGGTCATTGGTCACTTTCACAAGAGCACTTTTGAACAGAGAAGTGGGGGTGAAATTCTGATATGAGTGTGTGAAGAGAAAACTGGAAGAGAGAAATAAGGGATATGAGTATAGATAATGCTTTCAATGAGTTTGACTGTAGAGATAAAGCAAAGAAATGTGTTTGTAGCAGGAGAGGTGGTTTTTCTTTTTAATTTTACTGTATGTTTTATTCTTTGTGGCTGTAGAAATAAATACTGGCATGTTTACACACTATGGGAGTGATCCAGTGGAGAGGGGAACTTTGATAATGCAGAAGGAAAAAGAGAGTTGCTGGGAGGATGTTCTTGAGCAGACAAGAAAAGATGAGTTCTAATGTACAAATGACTTTGGAAAGGGACATGTGTATCTCAGACCCATGATGAATTTTCCCAAGGGCTTTCCAACAAAGGTACATATCCTTCCATATATTTATCTGTGCCAAACTAAGATGGATAGAATATTTTTGCATCATGCTGCTCATATTTTTCTTTATTCAAAACTATGTTGTAGAGATTCTCCTATGTTAGTACATAGAGACCAAACTCAATCTTTTTAATGACTGTTTAGTATTCAGTAGTATAGAGACATCATTATTTATTTAACCAGTCTCCTGTTGATGGACATTTATGTTGTCTTCAATGTTTTATTTGCTACTGGAAATAATACTGTAGATAACCTTCTTGCATAAATACATATCCTTGAGCGTTTCAGAATCACAAACTTCCAGAAGTAAAATTATTAGACCAAAGCTAAGTGCCTCCTGAATTGTGATAGAGGCTGCTAAAGTGTCCTCCACAAAGACTACTGCTGAGAACATCCCAGTGGTGTAGGAATGTAAAAAGTCAATAACATGTTTGTTTTAAAGTAGGGCTCAACTTTAAAGTGTTGCCAGAACCATAAGAGATAAATCGCTGACCCCTCCTCTCCAGGCTGTGGGAATGTGACAACTCCAGCTGGTCTGGGGAGCTGGAGAAGCAGAGAATTGGAACAGTGAGAGGAGACAGCAGACAACACAGGGCAGGAGTGAAGATCTGAGGAGCTGTTGGGTGTTCAAGGCAGGGAGCTCCGCTCTAGCCTGGTTCTTGAAATCACTCCTGTGAGCTCCTGGGCAGGTGGTCAACCTCTCATTGTCTGATCACAACAAACATGATCCAGGGAGGCAGCAAACATAAATGAGATTGTAAATGTTGGGCCAGAGACTGCAGACTGCCTACTGGTAGTTACCTCTCTCTTCTTTCCTAACACAGCCTCTATTTTGTCTGGGACAATTTCTCCTACTTAATAATAGCATTTCTCCCCTTCTGCAGGTGGTCATGTGATACAACTTCAGCCAATGAGATGGGAGCAGAGTTGCTGGGGCATTCTGGGAAATTCTGTGGACCACTTATCAGTAATCCTTAAAGGTATCCCAAAGTCCCAGGGTGAGCAGCTGCGCCGTGACCACAGGGGCATCCGGATGCATGGACGACACCAAGGGGAGGAAGTGAGGAGGCTGGGCCAGGGCCATCTTGGAGCTCTTGGGCCTTCACCAGCCCTTCCCAGGTGCCTCATCAGGTGAGAAAAATAAACCTAAGGTTTGTCTACACCGCTGTTGGTCAGGTTCCCTTTACTCCCAGGAAGGCCATTCCTGGATTTCCACTAATGCCCCATGAGAACTTTCTGCAGTCTGGTAACTTCTCTGGTCTCCCTTTGTTTATTTATTAAAGTGAGGGAATTGAACCAGGAGTTTTTGGTTTTTTTTTTTAAACTATTATTTGATACATTTTTAGAAGAATATGCATTCTCAGAAAAGTTTCAAAAAGAGTATAAGGAACACCTTTGTAGCCCTCTCACTCAGTTCCCCGGATATTAATGTCTTAGTAACTAGGGCTCATTTGTTAAAGTCGGGAAATGAACATTAGCAAGTCACTATTAAAAGTCAACTTTGTTCTATTTCCACTAGTTTTTCCCTCTCATATCTTTCTTCTGTTGCATAATCCTATCCAGAATAACACATTACATTTACTCCCTGTATCTCCGCATTCCCCCCTCTTGTTTGGAACAGTTTCTTAGCCTCTCCTGTCCCATCTGACCTTGACTGTCTAGAGGAAGCCTGGTAGGCGTTTTGCATACGATCCTCAATCTGAGTTGGCCTGATGCTTTCTTCATGACTAGACTAGGGAAGAATAGCACAGAGGTGAAGGGCCCTCCTCATCACATCTCTGGTGGCACATGCCACTATGTGACTTATCACCGTGACGTTAGTGTCCACCGCATGGCTAAGGTGATTTTTGCAAGTTACTCCTCATACGCCCGCCCCTGACCTTCCCACACTCAGTGTTTCTGCAGGTAAATCATTGCTCATGGCCCATATTCAAGGTTTAGGGAGTTAAACTCGATTGCTTAGAGAGGGGAGAATAAATTATTTGGACGGCTATAAGGAAGATTCATCACTCCTATTTATTTATATCAGTATGGATTCATGGATAGTTATTTTATATTTTGTGTTATAGTCCAGTATTTTATTACTTATTTTGTTTTTCAAATTGTACCATCTTGGGAGGGGGGGGTTCGTCTTCAGGTTTCTGTGTCCCTTTGCCATGACCCCATCATTCTGCTTTCGAGCACTTCCTAACTTTCTTACATATTTGTAAATATTTGTATATTTCCTTCCTCAGTCACTAAGTCAGCCATTCCTCTAAGGATCTGTGGTTCCTTTCATTTTAGAATCATATTAGAAACCAAGATCTGGGCACTAGACCAGGGAATTGTGAAGGGACTTCCAGTTCTAAAGCTATAGGATTCTAGACTTAGGATAACAGTGGCTCTAAAGTCAATTGATTATAGGGAGGATGAAATGAGATCTGCCATGTTCCGTAAATATTTGTGTGAGCAGTGCCTGATGGAGGGGGCACCTGTAACAAATTCCACTGTTCGCACGTTTATCTCCATCATCATCAATCCCCACCTTGGAACCTTGCCTGGTACCGAGGTCCCCATGACTTGGGACACAGCCTTGCTCCTGGAAGGCCCACTCCTCCCCTCTCACTCCCTGTCTCAGCTTCCCCAGAAGCAGTCCCTGTGAGAAGGATTTGAGGGTGAATGGTTGAGTGTGGAGGTGGTCCAGGTAAACAACAGGAGGACTGGGAAAGTGAGACAGGGAAGGGAAAGAAGCCAATAAGAAGTGCATATTGAGCAGGTGACTGCTGCCAATGGCAGGGTCTCAGTCCAGGGGGCGGAGCAATCTGGGAGGTGAAGTAGAACAGCCTAGGGGCTGTCCCACCTGCGGGGAGGGGCCAGGAAGTGGGAGGGCTTACCTCCAGCCCCAGCCTTCTCTGGCTGAGGGCTGGTCCTGGGCATCAACGCTCCTGGGCCCCAGCCCGCCCTGTGTGCTGGCCAAGAGGAAGCCCTCACTGAGGGTTCTTGATGTAGAAGATGCAGCAAGTCTGGGACAGGGATGCAAAGGCACCAGCAGCAACCCAGATTCCCACAGCCTGGAGCCTCATTCTGAAGCAGAGAGCAGGCCCCCTTGGTGAATGGAGCTGCTCCTGTGTGCGTACCACTCGCTGCTGGACACCTGACCTGGCCCAGCCAGCCATCTCTCACTTGTCACCAGAATGTCAGGTTTTGTCTCCCATCACCTGTCACCTTCCTGTCTACCTTGGTGGGGAAACACGTAGTCCAGATCCTCACTGTTCTACATCTTATTCATCCCAGTGTTGACCCACACTCCTACTGCTGAGTGGTACCCAGAGCATCCTCAGAAGACCAGTCATGAGACACACGAAAGGCTGGAAGTTAGGGCTCCCTATCCCAGCTCTACAAGTTGTCTGGGCATCATCTCAAGTCAATAGTCACTTATTTCTCTGAGCTCCTACTGTGTGTCAGACACCATGCTGGGAGCTTCCTGTGATCCTCACATCCTCCCTGTGAAGGAGGGTTCAATAGCTGCACTTTCTCAGTAGGGAAACTCAGGATCCGAGAGCTTAAGTCTCAGCCCAAAGGTCACCCACCTGTCACCAAGGAGCCTTGAAGGGGACCCACATACATCCCACCCTTACACTGCCCTTGTCTTCAGCAATGTGGTTTTCAGTAACCTCCGGGTATAACCTGCACTGTAGTCCCCTTCCTAAATCCTGGCCATTGTTTACCTGGAATAAGCCTGGAGCTCCCACCGAGTCAGTGTCAGAGATGATCCCCGGGCTGGTGCCCAGCAGCAGACAGAGGCCCCGTGTGAAATCCAGCCCTGTTCCCTGATCGTGACTGATTTACCCAACAATAATTAGTTCATTATGTCTAAAGTGTGTCTGATTCCTCTGGAGGCTTTGTAGTAATTACAAGTTCGTGTGTTATGAAAAATGGTTTATGGAGTCTAAAAGCCTTGGACAAAGAGCCCAGTGGCAAGGCTGTTGGGCCTACATGAAAGAACTTTCTGGATGTGAACCAAGACCTGTGACCAGCTCTACTCTGGTCCCTGGCCCCCGTCCTCACTGCCCCTCTGCTCCTGGGAGTCCAATTGTGCAGCTTTTGGGGTTCACCCCCTCCCTCACCTTGTGAGGGAGGCGCTGGTCAAATCACTGTCCCCCATCTACAGATGAGGAAGCTGATGCCCAGAGAGGGCAGGCAACTGGCCTGAAGTCACACAGCAGGAAAGTGGGGGATTCCTGCATGCCTGACTCCCCCCAAGGGTTCCCTCTCCTCCCCCTCACCACCCTCCCCACAGTCGTCCTCAGAGGAAAGCAAAGACTGAGACCCCCCTCCACCCTGGGACCGCGGGGGAGTCTTGGGCTCACAAAGAAGCCTCCATCTGAGTATCTCATGTCCTGGTACCCAGACCCCACTTTCTAGGTCTGTACCACATCCTCCCTTCTCCTCCTCCCCTGAGCCCTGGGCTGTTTCCTTAATGTGCCCACTCTAATTATTACCTTTAAGGAAGACTCAATCCAGGAGACAAACCTAAAAGACCTTCTGGTAACTGAAGGCATCCTGCCCCCCTCAAATGAAAAAGGGGCCCCTGTAGTTACACACCGCTAACCTCTGCCAGGGCTGAGCCGCTCTTGACTCTGTGCATTCAGGTCCCCAGGGGCACTGGGGCTCAGGCAGTCCCCTACAGAGATGCACTGGATCGGGAGGTACCACAATGCTTTTCGTCCAGATGTAACACTTAAATCCAGTCACCTGAGCGCTCTGAATCCACTCTCCTCACCTATAAAGTGGGAATGCTACTTACCTTCTTCAGAACTCAGTTTTCCCCTAAGGGAAAAAAAAGAGAGAGAGAGAGAGAGACAAGAGTTCAAATACTCGTAAGCTCAGCAAGGATGCAGACATGCGGCTGCATCCCCGGCCCTTCACAAGTGGCTGCTGCTGCTGCTAAGTCGCTTCAGTCGTGGCCGACTCTGTGCGACCCCATAGACGGCAGCCCACCAGGCTCTGCCGTCCCTGGGATTCTCCAGGCAAGAACACTGGAGTGGGTTGCCATTTCCTCCTCCAACACAAGTGGCAGGATGACCGAATGTTTCTGTGAAGCCGTCCACCTGCCGTCCTGCTCCCAGGCCTCCCTCACGGGGGTGAAGCGGCAAACAGGGCTGGCTGAGCAGTGTGACAGGGCCCATCAGTCTCTGAGCCCCAGGAGCAGAGATGTGGGGTTCATCCAGAACAGCCTGGAAACCCCTTCCGTGTCCTCATGGCCAGTCTGATTCCAGCAACTCGAGGAGGGCCTGAAGTCACTGGGGAAAGTTGCCTAACTGGGGCAGAGGCTGGGGAGAGCCAGGGGAAGAAGCGGGGGGCTTGGCAAACCTCAAAGGGAGCTAGTTCAAGTGCACCTGGACATGCGGCACGTCCCTGGGGGAGCCTCCCTTTTTCCTCAGTTTTCTGGAGCTTGAGAAGGTCCTCCTCCCTCATCACCGGATGCCTCCACAGGCAGAGGGCTGAGCCTAGGGGGTTTGCAGGCAGGAGTGAAGGATCTGAAGGGCCAGTGAGAATGAAGCAGGACTCAGCACCTTGGCCACCCCACAACTGGGGGCAATCGGAGGAGGGGGAGAACCTTTGTGTTTCCTCTCCTGTGAGATCAGGGGGTCCTGGGCCACTTCCAAGTCTCTCCCTCCCCCAAGATGCTCTAATTCTCCCCTCCTCCCCCCACCGTTTCCTCTCAAAGAGCCCTTGGGCCGGCAGGGGAAGGGGCACATTGGCCTGAGATTCTGTGGCCAAATGCGGTGGCCAAACCAAGGTCTCCTGACTCCCAGTCCAGGGCCGATGGTCCTCCATGGCCCCTGGGGAGTCAGAGGTGAGTGTTCACACCTGCCAGATCCCTCAGAAGGGGAAGGGGAATGAGCCTGTGGCTCACCATCTGTCCCCACTCAAAGAAAATGAACTTGGAATGGAAGGCGCCCAGAATCCACTGTGCGGATGAGGAAGCCAGGGCTAGGGGAGGTCAAGAGATCCTTCTCCAGGATCCTACGTGTGGGCACTGGAAGAGCTGGGATTCACACCCAGGTCTTGGGAGCTGCAGAGGCTGAAGCTT